ATATAGACTAATATTATAAGGGTTAATTGAAAGTTACAAATTTTTCATAATATTTTCCTTTTTCATTAGTTAAACGGTAAAAATTAAATATTTGATAACTTTATAAACCTACCCCTAATAATATATAGTTTATAAACGGTTAGATTAGTCCAGAATTAAAAAATGGACAAATCAATTTATGTATATATAGAGTTTAGCTAGTATAAGAAAAAAAAAGTAGCTACAAACGCAATCATTAATAAAAATCAAGTAGCTAGTTAATAATACAAGAAAAAAGATTTAATAAAAATCACGTAGTTAGTTAATAATACAAGAAAAAATATTAATAAAAATCAAGTAGCCAGCTAGTATAAGAAAAAAGATTAATGGTAGAAATTAGTGATAATATATACCTGCAATTTATTGTCCATTATAAACACCTTGTAAACTGAATCGTATATCCCTCCATCAATAAGATAGTCAATGTTAACTTTAAGTTTTGTAGGATCCAATTCACATTCTTGTTTCTTCGGATTGTCATCTGTCTTTGTTATCATATTTGATTTCGCCATTAAACAATATAAAATAAAAAAACATTAATATTCTTTCAAATTTAGGGGGTGCTATATCCTATATTTATAGGTTTCGAAATCAAATTTGACGTTAATATTCAAGAGTGTGTTATATCCTATATTTATAAGTTTGGAAATTAAAAAAATTGAAAAGGATAAGGAAAAGGAAAACTTGTGGAAAATAAACTTGGATGTTTTCTAATTCTAATAGTATTTGGTTTACATAATTGTATTTAGTGAGTGTTATCTATCTATATCTATATATAATTAAAATGGACAATAAGAATAGTATGTAGACTCATTGTGATAAAATTGTGTCTTATATTCTCAAAATATATAATTGTTCAATCGAAAATTTATTTAAAAATAGAATTAAAATATATTATACTTTTTTATAAAATTTATATAAAATTAAAAAAAAACACTAAAAACTAAAAATAATGGGACATGTCTTTGTTCCTTCCCACCTTGGGTTGGACATAAACACCGGAAAATCGAAACACTGAATTAAATCAAATTTTTTTGATATTTCGATTTTTGATTAGGTATTCGGTATACGTTTTTCTTTTTTTAATATTTCAATTCGGCTTTTGATATGTGATTTTGTGTTATTCGATATTTTGATTTATCGAAACATATTATATTATAATATTAATATATATTTATAATTATTAATGTTGAATAATAAAAATAAAAAATAAAAAAAATAAAAGACTAATGCATTTCTTTGATGTAACTATTTTTAGTTCATTCAGCTAAAAAATCAAACAAAAAGATTGTCAAAGCCCACTAAGCAGACTCATTAAAAAAATCGAAATAAGAAAATCGAACCAAAATAATATAAACTGAAATCGAATCAAATTATTTCAATTCAGTGTTTGATACACGTTGTACAAGAACCAAAAATTGAAGAAAAAAATTAAAATCAAATCGAATTACCGAATGCCCACCCCTGCCCCCGCCCCTCCCTTTTACCCCCATTTTCACCACTTGAAGTGAAAACAATAAATAATATCTCTAATTATGAGACCAAAAAGAAACTGCAATCAACAATAGGGATAATTTCAAAGACATCCCTCTATGTTTCTCTATATAACACTCACCTCCCATGTGGTTTACAATATTAAGTCTACCTCCCTTATTTATATTTACTTGTAACCATTCTTTAAACCTATTTAAAATAAATATAAATTAATGAAGATTTGACAATTTTACCCTTCTTTATATTAATTTCTTCATATTAATAAATATTATATAAAAACAACTCATTTAACAAATATTTTAAAAATAAATCAGCACAAATACTTATTTTTTTGTCCAACAAAGATCAAAGTCTTTATTTAAGCTGACCCACCATTTTACCAAATATTACTCTTCGTCTCCATTTCATGTTAATAATTCATCATCAACTTAATTATGTACTTAAGACAAGTCAAGAAAACTTTAGAATATTCTGAAGTTGTAGAGAATTGAAGAAAGATATATAGAATGAGTATTCTAAAGAGAATAATCTAGAATTAAACTAGATAGTGTATTGCTAGAATTCAGTGGTTGAAAGAATATTTTAGAAAATAGTAGCAAAATATGTTTAGCTAGATTGTTCCAGCACCTCTTATAAATAGAAGTCATCCATTTAAATTGTATGCAACCAATCAAGAAGCAAAGTAACAAACCAAGTAATAAAGTAAGAGAGCAAACAAGAGTGAGTGCTAAAGTAAATAGTGTTGCTGAACTGAATCGAACAAGTGTGATCAAGATTGTAAGATCGAAATCGGTACTTATTTTGATATAATAAAATTCAAGTTGTGAGAAATCGATAGTGTCAGTCGTCAGCACACCCAAAATATTCAACATTTCACATTTACCAATCCACATAGATTTTTTCCCCACAATAACCCATCATTTTCTGGGAACAATTTCTTCAAATGAAAGATAAGAATGAACTTCACAAGAGAGAAATTCAATAAGAACAATCAACTTCTGTTCTAGTTAAACATCTTCATGAGCAACGAAGAAACATGATCTAATTGATAGAAATAAATAGTTTAAAATTAGATCTAAACTTTCATATATAAGGATAAAATTGTCAAATATAAATTAATTTATATTTATTTTAAATATATTTAAAAAAGGCGAAATGGTCTGGTGGACCCTTATGCTTGTATCAATTTGTATTCTGAATTCTTCTACTTATCATTTTGTCATCTGAACTCTTAAATTCAATAAAGCACAATTTACCAAACCCCTCTGAGCATTGACCAAACTTATGTGTCTTTAAGATGACTGAGTTGGCGAAATTGTGTGTTTTTTCTCGCACCATGAGGCGAGTGAGTGCTATATTTCAGTTTTAAAATTATTAAAAATAAAATAGAATAAAATAAAAATAAAAAATTCAGTAAAAAACCTTCATCTTCTTCACCCATCTTTCTTCTTCTTCTTCTTCTTCTTTTAATTGAAACAATGTATTATTGATTAGTATGAAAAGCTCAGTTAATGCATAAATTCGAGTTCAATTAAACAACATAATTAGATTACACAAGCAGATAGTGTATTGGACAACAAAATCGAATTAGTAGCTTTGCATTTGTTATGTTCCAATCTGTATGCTTCAAAATCACACATAGGTACTAACAAAACAGTGCAATCCACACAATCCCTACAACAATCAACTCCAACACATTCAACTAAACATGAGTACAATCATCGCATAGTTGACCCGAAAATAGCTGAGATTTCGCTTGACCCTATATGCGAAATCGCTGACGGAAATAGGTAAGGTATAAGAAGACGGATGGGTCAATAACTCTCTCCATGGATGACAACGAGCATACAAGGAAAGCATACTAGATCTAGCCCGATTGAAAGAGGCTTTTTCACCCATCTTAACCTTCATTTTCAACCATCTTCATGCTCGACTCTTTTTTTCCCTTTACTTTTGTTATTGTCTTTAAAAGGTCTTGGCATTGAAACCTCCTTGAGTCCATTCATTCGTCGGCAGAGGGAGAGGTCGACAGTGGCGATGCTCGTTGGCCAGATCTAATGGTACGGTGGCGACTTAGGTTGATAATTTTGTGATGATTGAAGGAGGAGGAAAGCTTCTCGAGTGCTATGTGTTATATACATCCTTCATCTTCTTCATCATTTGACTGATGAAGATCGCCCAGAAAGAAAGGAGAGGAAGAAATATAGGGGAAAGTCATAAAGACAAAGCCACAAAAGTGCAACGACAAAATCAAACCCTTACATGCGCAAAATTGTACAAAAAATAAAGGAAATAACCCAATTTTGAAGATACAATCATCAAGGGAATACATTTTTTTTGTTGTTTTAAGTTGGGAATGGGGAGAAGATGAAGGAATTTCAAAATTTTATTTTAAGAAACAAATATAAATTTAAATGTTTTCCTTTTTATTAATAATTTTTAAAAAATACTTAATAAAGATATTATGACATGTCATTGATATAAATGACATGAATTTGACATGTCATCTATTTAAGGGAGAGTAGATTATATACATGATGAAAGGGATTAAAGATCCAGATAATAAAAAATTAAAGTAGAAAGATCCAAAATACAAATTGATATAAATATAATGGTTCACTAACCATTTTAACTTTAAAGAATACTTACAACAAAATGAAAATAAAGTAAACTTAATATCTTAATTAGGAGAGATGAGTGTTACGAAGAGAAAAGTGAATTTTCAGAAAAAAAAATAGGGATTAAATTAATGATAAAATATTCGATTGAGGATGAAGAAACAGAATTCTTCGTTCTGTTCTCCACCTTAGAAGTTTGTGAAATTATCCCTTTAACAATAACTACATTTTTCTTCAAGGTGAGGAAGCGCTAAGGGAATACCAATAGAGTGGGAGAAGATATTCAACAGCGACGACTCTCCGGCGGAGCTGGTGGTTAACTACGCCTTACCACGGCTGCCTGCTGAAAAACAGTAATCGATCACCATGGAAGGAGAAGAGCTAAAAGAAGGACTTTCGAATTTATCAGATACAGAATTGACCGACAAAATTGCTAGGCTAAAAAAATCTCTGTTTAGCAACATTGGTGTTAGGTTACCGATGGAGGTGAAAAGTATAGGGCAAATATCAAACTGCAGGAGGATGAATTAGAATGGAGGAAACGGGTCGGTTCCGGTCAGGTTTGACTTTGAATTTTATTCATTTCCTCTTTGCTTATTACTGTTTGATTTCGCAGTTCCATTTCTAGCATTATGTGCTTGTAGGTATTTTCTTGCTCGTGCATTCGGTGCATGTTGTGAAATTCTAGTCAGAATAACTTGCTACAATACTATTATAGACTAGCTTCTGATTTATCCTATGCTTTACAGTCAGCTGTACAAGACAATAGCTATTAAATTGCAGTGTGTAGCATCTGCATTATGGCCAATTCGACTAAAAAAAAAACACAGTATGTAGCATCTTTTTGCATTTCAGAGAAGTATGAAGTATTAGTAGTGAGTTCTAAACTATGTAGAGTGCCATTTACTGCAAAATGTAGGTTTTTATGGATTAAAAACATTCTCTATGAGCTAGGATTGGAAAGTTATGCATAGTTATTCAAAAATTTTGGTAGAGAAGGCAGTGAAGCAGATCGCTCAGTGTTTGATTGTCATATTTCACCTGGTTAATGTGCTTATCTGGTGGTATAGTAAGCAACATAGTAGTTAGACTCATTACAGAAAATGACCGAGCAGGTCAACCAGTTAAGGAAACGTCTTGCCAGAAATTTTCAAGCCAAGGATCTAGATCATTTAAACAATCTCCTTGGCATTGACATCACCTAGTCAAGCATGGTGTATTATTATTTTACATAAGAAGCATGTGTTAGATATTCTTAAAGAAACCAATATGATGGGCAGAGCTGGTCCATGGATTTAAATTTATGTTGTTACCAGATTAGGAGGATACATGTTAGATCCTACAGGATATTGAAGGCTGATTGGGAAATTAAGCTATCTCAGTCTATAGATGTAGTAAGTATATTCATGCAGTCTTCATGTGAGATGCCTTCTACAGATTTTAAGATAGATCAAGACCATATCAAGGATTGTAGTATGAAGGCGATAATAAAAAAAGTAATGCTCAATAGTATAGGATACTTAAATGCCGGTTAAACCAGTTCACTAATTGCTTGATGATCTATATCTAGACACTTGCATTATCACAAAGTAAGAAACAGAACATTGAGAGACTATCTATTAGAGAAGCTGAATATTGACTCGCAGCAACAACAACTTGTGAGTTCATGTGGTTGAAATAATTACTTGAAGAATTGAAGTTTACAGTCATATGAAAGAAAGTTATGTTTTTATAATTAAGAAGCATTGCAAATAATTCAGTTTTTCTCGAAAAACTAAGCATACATAAATCGATTGCCGCTTTTAACAATTTCCGTCCATATGGTTTATTTGCTCCATTTTAAGGGAATCTTGAATATTAATGCTGATGAGAACAATGAAATCCACAAGTTAAGCTTATTCATGATGCCAAGTTGTGGAAGTAGCAAATCAACCTTGGGGAACCTATCTAATACAAGAATATACAGACATACACAAAAAGGAAAGATCGCTTCAGCTTCTTAACACACTTCTCTTTACATTGAAAATATTGTGTTGAAGCGAAAAAATGTTCTATATAAGACACCTGTATCCTATGGAGCAAGGCAGCAAGCTTAATATATAACATTTTTGTGGTTAAGAACAAAATTTTATTGGTACGAAAGTAATCTGTACAAGCCAAATAGGAGTTGACCTCCTACTTCTCAAAGAAAATTTGCAGCTATAGGACAACTGTTCTGAAAGACTAGGCTATTACAAGTAAAGATACTGTACTTCATCAATAAGTCATACAAAAAAGTTGCTCTATTACAGGAACTAGCAATGCTCCTATCAAAGCTAACCGTCTAAGCATTCTGGCCCAAAAGTTACTAGTACAGTGTCACAGAATACACACTCCATTGTCACATGAATCGCAAACTTAAGCAATCTATCTACCGTGGATAATCTTCTCCAAACGACTAACAATCGACAGAATTTATGTTTAGGATGAATATTTTGCTAAAGAACACTACCTTATCTTCTGATATTGTGGCATGAGCCGAGTGTAGAGTTTCTTAATTGAGAATCTACCTCCCACCACCATAGATTGGAATGTAGTTAAAAGGTCCCGATAACATCAAGTAGCCTGCATGATGTATTTTTTGGAATCCAGGATCTTTTCAACTACCCAAGTTGTATTACCTGGTATAGTATGATTCTTCTTGTTCTCCCTTTTTAAATAATACTCACACACCCACTTGATCCACAGCCCATATTTGTTTCAGATAGTAGCATTGTTCCACAAGGAAAGATTCAGGATGTTGAGCCCCTCCTGCAGCTCTTGGGTAGCAAATCATGCCCCAAGAAACAAGTGCTTTCCTTGACAGAGTTGCTGCCCCTGTCCAGAGAATGAATCTGCTGATCCCCTCTATAAGTTTCAATATCTTCTTAGATAATACAAATATTTGTGCCTTGTAGATTTGAATACCAAAGACCACTGACTTAATATATTGAACACTTCCTGCATATGACAATAACTTTCCTGACCAACACCTAATCTTTTTTGTGATCTTATCTACTAGTGACATATATTGGCCACTTGTGAGCCTTTTGAAGTATAGGGAGACACAGACACCCAAGTACTTGAAGGGATTTTTCCCTGCATATAGACAACAATAGATAAGATTTCCTGCTTAACTGCTTGATTCACACCACTCAGATAGATTGAGCTTTTGTCTGGATTAGCCTGAAGTCCTGAGGCATCTGAGAACCTTTGAAAAGAACTTTGAAACAGTAGGAGAGCTGACAAAGCCATCAGAAAAGTCTGGGGGATGGTCCTGCAGTCATTTTTTGGGTTATTTGGAATGAGAGAAACCACAGGTGTTTTGATCGGATTTCAACTCCTCTTCATGCTCTAAAAGCTAAATGTTTATTTTTTTCTATTCAGATGGAGCTTTTCCTCCCCTGTTAATAGCATTGAGTCATTCACAATTTCGTGGACTTCGTTGGCTCCATGTTTATTGTGTAGTCTAACTTAGTTTCTACTTACAAAGCTTACTAGCTTTTGTTTTTGGCCCAAAAGCTCTCAAAGCTTCTGCTTTGTAATATGGCACCATCCAGATGCCTTATGCCAGTGAGAACTTCTTACTTCATAAAAGAAAAAGGCAGTCTTCCAATGATCCTCCGGCTCTTTCAGATTTCCGCTTCATAAATAGTTCTTTTTTCAAGGACCAATCCAAATTCTGAGATGCTGCATTCCAACTCTTCCTTCTTGGATTGCAGACCCTAGCACCATAGTAAGATGGCAAAACACTCTTTACTGAAACCCATTACATCTATGTTTCATAATGGGATTTGCATGAGTCTTGACATTAAATTCTGCATTTTTGTTGTTTTTCCACAATCATGCTGTTTTAGTTCAATAGTATAGGTGGTTTCTGGATTTGATTTATTATGATAATGATGTTCTCAGTTATTCCACAGTCCACCTTCGAAAGAATATGTTTTATCCTCTTCAATGATAATATAATTGAGCATCCTTGCTACTTCTGTGTTGACACCAATTTGATGGGTGCGTGAGGCATGACTTTTGTTCTGTTGATAAGGTCAATACTTCTGGTCTTTGTGCCTGTTGGGACTAGGGGTGGCAGAATGGGTAATTTATATGGGTATCCACTTATATTTACCCATTTTAAATGGGTCAGGTACCCAACATATTTAAAAGGGGTAAATGAATAATACTCATATTATCCATTTAAATGAGGGTAGGTAAATGGGTAAAAGATGTTCATTCATTAAAGAAAGAAAATTGGTAGGGGGGTGGGGTGGTAAAAAACTTTTTAAAAAAATATTTTTTTTAATAAAAATATTTAGATTTTTTTTTTGATTTGGTTGGGATGAAAGAAACTTTAATTTTTTTTTTAATAAAAAGCAACTATTATTTTTCAAAGGGAAAAGACGTAAATTCCCCCGAACTTGTTCCAAAAGTCAGTTACACGCTTAAAGTATCATGACGAGATATGTTACACACTCAATCTTGTTTAAAGTGAAATTAATGCCCCTTCCGAAGATGATATCAGTTTTTGTGTGAAACTGTGTTATACACGGGTTTTGACACGTTATTTTAATTTCTTGAAACCATTTTCGCTTAGTATTTTCTCAAGAATTATGCAAAAGGTAGAAATCTAGGTTTTCTTTCTCCTCTCGCCTTACATTTCTTTCTTCTTAAAATCCATTTCTTCTTTCTTCATCATTATTCATAAATTGAAGGAAAACAAGAAATTTGAAGAGAGAACATGAGACAATAAAACAATTATGAAGTTTAGTGATGTTGGAGTTGGCGATGGGCACCATTCTTGCCGGTGAAACAAATTGAAACTTTCAGATCTGTAGAAGTTCTTTTAAAATATTGATAAGTATGGATGAAATCAAGCATTTTATTAGTATTCTTTGTGTGTGAAATCAAATATGTTGTTGATGTCTTGCGACAAAAACAACATTTTTATGGTTGTAGGTGGTGCTCCGGCGAGACTAAAGAAGACAAAGATAGAAAATTATTTTCTTCGATGGATCTTTGAAAAATGTAGGCAATGTAATCATGAATTTTATGCATAAATGTAATAGGATTTTCAGTAGAAGCATAAATGAAGACTAAAGAACTCTCATAATTTTTTTTTTGGTGTTCTTCTCCGGTGAATCCTCCCGCGAGTTCAAATAAAAACATGAACTTTAAGTTAAAATTAATAACTTTCTGGTGGAAATCAACATCCTCCCCACTATTTTTTACTTCTTTTTAGAGTTCCTTCTTATGATAGTATGATGGATATTTTAAGAAATCATCAATGGTGACAAAGAATTTGCGAAGAAGAACTTTTAAAAAAAAATTTAAAAATGAAAAAGCTTTAAAGAAATTGGGGTCACCAATATAAAGAAAAAAAAGAAAAAAATGACAATTAATATATTACAAATTATAATACTTAATTATATAATGACCAATAAAATTGTTCCACGGTTTTAAACTTGTCATTTAACATGAATTTCTTCTTCTCACGCACCTTAAGGAAGGTGAAGATTTTGTTTTTAAACTTTTAACAAGATTCCTATTATAATATGGGTTTCCTTATTTACCCATATTATCCATTGGGTAACTCATTTTTATCCATTTAAAATATGAGTGGAGTCTAGTACTTTATCCATTTTTTCTTTAACTCGTTTTTGATCGACTCATATGGGACTAGATCCACTCATTTTCCACTCCTAGTTGGGACTATGTTAAGTTTTTTTGATATCTTTACTCTATAAGTTTTTATATATTTTAATTAAGGGAAGTTCCTTTGGGGAAAATGGGAGTACAGGGCAATGAATCTTCAGAGTTCCTGAGAGGTGAACAAACACAATCAATTGGGGAGAGGCGATAAGACAGGGTATGACACAACTTCAGGTTACCGAGGACATGACTTAGATAGGAGGGTGTGGAGGATATGTAGTTAGGTAGAAGGTTAGTAGGAAGAGTAGTGTTGTCTTGCTTAGGGTGGGTGTTTACCATTACACTATTTGTACTATTGTAGTTCTTGCTTTATATCTATCATTGTTTATTGTTGTTTTCAATAATCTATCCTAGTATGTTGTTTATTGTGTTTTGATTGTCGCACTATTTTGTTGTTGTTTTTGGTTCCTTCTGGTAGACTTTGGTAGACTTTGCACTGTTTCCTTGTTACGTGCTATGTTTTCTTCACTGTCTCCTTCTTCTGTGTATTTGGATTTGCTGCACTCGTTACTGAATAGAAGTTTTTGTTTAAATTCTACTACTCTACAGGAGCTTTTCTCTATCTTGATTTCCATGCTTTCATATAGTTCCGAAACTGATGCATGAATAAAGAGCACACATTCTGCCTATGCCTAGTGTGTCTAGCTTACTTCTCATCTTGAAGAGATTTATAGTTCACTCTTGGTATATTGCGAGTTTCTTCTTACAAACAGGAGTGACTTTAGATTTGGTGTGCATGTGCATGTACACGGGTAACTATGCGGGAATTAGAACTGAGTCTTATTTGTCATTTTAATTTGCTTTACTTATGTAATTAGTTCTAGAAGGAGAGGCTAAAGTTTGATATAACTTTATAGGTGCACCTTATAACTTCGAGCCACAGGCTTCACCATCTGTGTCCTCTTCATAGTCCACCTTTGCTGTTTGGTTTTTGAACAGGTTGGAAGCAGAAGTACAGTTTCATTCTTAAATTCATTTCTCTTCCTCTTGAAGTTAACCATTAATTTTTGTTACTTTTGCTTATTGAATTGCAGGCAGAGTCTAAGCCAGCCAATGCTTTCCAAGAAGAAATACATGTGACCACAAAAGTACATCAAACAACCAGTTTTCACAAAGAAAAAGATACAAGCGAGAGTTATTGTCAAGGAAGAACCTTATAAGTCTCCTGTAGACAAAGGTGAACAAGTTCTGAATGTTGATCTAAAAGGATGGGATCCTTCTACTCGTTCTACAGAAAATATCGCCAGCTTTTTCGTGGAGAAGTACGTGTTTTGTTTTTTTGGGTTATTCTATTCCCCTAACTTCTTAGATAGTTTTTCTGCTCTGTCACTTTATTGTTGCTGCTATTATTTTGGTTGTTACTGGAAGCTGTCACTCATTATGAATTTGTTTTTTGAGATGAGATAACTCATTAGGAATTAGTGTATTTGCATAAGATTCATTGTGAAAGATGGGGTCCACTAATTTTTTGTTTAGATCAACAGGAGTGTCAAAGCTGCTCCTGTTAATTCAGAGATCTGAATTCGAAACGAAAAAAAAGCTGCTCAAGTTTTTGCTTTTATAAGTTATGTACTGCTGAAAAGAAGTAAAGTCATTTTTTTAATAATATTCCATATTTCAAACAAAAAGTTGAGATTTCCACTTTGAGTCATCTGAAAACTATGTCAACCTTCATGAAAACGAATACTTTGTCACGACTCCATTGTATTTTTTAAATGCGACTTTTTCTCAAAAGGTTATGTACTGCTGTAAAATATGTTGAAGAGTTTTGACAAAGTATTCTATTTAAGGAAGTTGGACAATGTTTTCAGATGGCCCAGAGTTGAAATCTCAACTTTCAGTTTGAAATATGGAGTATTAAATATAACATGGCTTCTTTTCAGCAGTTGTACTTTGCTGACTTTCTGTAGAGTAACATGCACAAGAGTGTAGGGATGTAAAAATGGTTTAATATCTCTCTCAGAACAATGTTCATTTCTATGATTATGTGATTGCACAGTAGCTCCCCAATTTGATCTCTGTAGTTCTTATTCTGCAACTATCCTTGTATACTTTAATTACACTCTGTTTGAGGCAGTAGTTTCAAAAGAACTATAATTTCTAAGTTGGTAGTTATAAATATAAACTGGAGCACAAATGCATTTACTTTGCAACACAAAGCATCAGGTCCTTTAGAATTTATGGCCAAGCAATGAGAAAAAGGAAATTCCTGCAGTCTAATCTTTGATAAGCCAGACGCCCAGACCTTTTTCTATACTGAGATTTCTTAGTCAGTTCCAATCAGAAATCTTTGTGGATGATGCCTTATCTTTGATCTCCCTACCCTTTCCTGTACTGATGTTCCTTATTCAATTTCATTCAATTATCTTTTTGGATAATACTCCTTTCTACTTAACTGCATAAAATAGTCTCTAGTTTGATCTATAGAACATGTTCATTTCTAAAATGTTATTATCAGAGAACTAGAGCTAAGCAACCAATGGCCCAAAATTAGAGTGATCTTTTTTTCTTTAAGGAAGATAACAGTATATTAATGTCAGCACAAAGGATGTGCTTAAGCCATATTTACAATTCAAAAGGCAGAACTGTGTCCCTCTTCTAACTCACAGGGAGTCCATAATGTCTAGCAAAGATTCTGCATCTTTTAATAAGCTTTTTTTACACCAAAAATGAAACAAAAAGTACAATTCATCTCAATCTTCGAATCATTTTGTATTTCTCTCCTTCCATATAGTCCACCAAATGCATGCTGGAACCATGTTCCACCACTTCTTCTGACTCATGCTACCACAATTGTTGTTCCAACACTTTAAGAGATAACATGTAGACTCTGGCATGACCCACCTGATCCCAACTATGTTAAGAAACAGCTACAAAAACTGATCTGTCACATGTTCAAGCAAAAAAGGTGGTTGATACTCTCAGATTCAGCTCTACATAAAAAGCGCCTGGAGCACAGCTGGAAACCCCTTCTATTCAAATTTTCCCGAGTTGAACATACCTCTTTTGCCACCAGATACAAAAAGCAAGTCACCTTGTATGGGATCTTTACTTTTCAGATGAATTCCGAAGGCCTATTAGATCCTTGTAGTCTAGTATTTGGAAGTAGAGAATAAGCAAAATTGCCGGTCAAGCAACTCTTACTGTTTCCTTTCCCAAACCACTTGGTCTTCATTGCTTTTAAGACCCTGAAAAGGCTCCCAAACTTTGAAAAATTCAGCAATTTGTTGAACCTCAGTCATTCAAAAATCTTCTAAAGTTGAGATTACATTAGTGCTGTCTCCATACTTCCTCAATCTTTGCTTTAGGTGAAAGAATTAAATTACAAACATCTGTAAATTAATCTTTTGAAAGGCCCATGTCCAGTGTTTTGAGGAGTGTGAAGCGGAAAAAAGCGACAAGGCCCTGCTTCACTCTATAAGTGAAGCGCTTGCTTCAATACAGTTTGAAAGAACAAAAGAAGAAAATAAAAAGACAATATTTGTAAGCAGAAGTTAAAATAAAAAATGAAAAAATAGATATCACAAAATCCTCCATAGACCATAGGACATACAAAATCAAAGCTATTAATGGTTCAAGTTTCAACATTTAGTTCCTATTCTTATAAAATTCTTCTTCTACAAGATTGTCTAAATCCTATATTGCTCTGTTGTTTCTCTATCGCTAATTATCTTCTTCAACTCCATCATCATATTCTTCAATTCCATCAATTAGGGATAGACTTGTAGCTACTTCTTCTCTTCGTGTGTAAGCTTGAAGTATTCCCCCTTAAACCATAATGGTTCTCCTCAACACCACTTGCCTCCACAGCAACATCCCAAGTGAAATCAAAATCTCCCAAAAAAATTGTTTCGTCTTCATGACTCTCAGGGACTCCGGTTAGCCATTGATTAGCATCATTAATATTTTCCAAAAGAATTGGATCAACTACATTGCGTGCATTGTAATGGCGCCTCAATATTTTATTGTATTAATTGAACACTAGGTCATTGGGGTGCTTTAGGGGTTAGTCTATTCCTCTACTTGGTATGATTCTGCAGAAGTAACTATTAGGAGATAAGACAATTGAGATATAGTTTAGTTATCTTAGTATAATAGATCTTTCTTCATAGTTCTTACATGTTCAAACATGCTCTAGTTCTTCTCACATTCGGTTGAGCTACTAGTTAGACTTGGAACTTTGATGGTGATATTTTGTAATTTTGAGATTCTAAACGATAAAGCTTCCACAATTTAAGTATTGAAGTAGAACAAATATTTAAAAACTAATAAGTTCAAAAAATAACTTAGCACTTGCTCACCAGATCCACTATTGTATCTTGCTCATTTTTATTGGCGACCAACTTACCAACACAATCATGGAATCCTTTCCACACTTTTTTATCTAGTAAATCCATATCATAGTTATCATAAAAGAGTGATGGGTTCAAAGTATTCCCAACTTCATACAAATTGCAATGAAGTTGATCTTCCCTCCATCTACCAATTATCTCAAAAGCCTTGGCATATTTATGCTTATAAATGTCGCTTGAATAGCCTCTTATCTGTATCCCCCAGTGTTGTGAAAAGCGCGCTTCAAAGTGAGGCGACACCAGTGCGCTTCTTTCTCCTGAGGCGATGCGATCTGAAAAAGGCGCTCGCTTCAGATAAAGAAGCGAGAAGCGACACTAAGGCAAAAGCGCAATAAAGCACACTTTTTATAAAAAAGCGACAATTAGGGTTTTTTTTAAAAAATAAATTAGTTTTTTTTAAATCTGAAATATACAATATAACTTAATTTTTCTTTCACGACTCTTCTTTCGCTTCTTCTTTCTTCATGACCGCGACTGAGACTGCGTCTCTCTTCACACCTCGACCGCGACTGAGACTGCGTCTCTCTTCACACCTCGACCGCGACTGCAGGTAGGTTTTAGCCGATGTTTATTAGTTCATCTCTGTGAGTTTCTTTTCTCCTGAAATATACAATCTTCGCCTTTGCTTCATCTCTGTGAGTTTCTTTTCTCTTCATGAAGTGTACAAAGGAGAAAGTCTCACTTATGGTGATGTTTTTGTGGCAAGTGGTGTTGAGGAGGATATTTATTGGCTTAGGGGGAGTACTTTAAGGGGCAAGGAAAGAGGAGTTGGAGGTTCTAGTTCAAGTCGAAACCTTGTTGATGAGCCTTCTGATGATGAAGAAGATGATGACCAAGTAGAACCCTTGGTTATGGCACTTGAAGAGTTTGAGGATCTTGTTGAAGAATAGGAGTTTGAGTCTTTGTGATTTAATTATGTTTTTGATTTTTTTGCTTTATATGTTATGACTTATGAGTATTATTGACTGTCTATTTTCTTTTAACCTAAGATTATATTACATCTATTTAGTTATTTAATATTTTTTTATTTTTATACTAAATGTTTTTTTTTTTTTTTAAAAAGCGCGCTTCGCTTCACGCTTCTCGCTTCTGTGAAGCAAGCCCTCGTCGCTTTTTTCCGCTTCTCACTTCCCAAAACAATGGTATCCCCAACTCCATAAAGGTAGCCCATTGGTGGGTTTTCCCCCATCCAACAACTGAAGTACTTAAATCAAGGGACCACTGATTTTAAGAGCATGAACAATATTGTTCCAAGAGGTATAAGAGATTCGTACGTGCAACTTCTACCCCCTACCTCCTTTTGCAAATTACTCGTGTTCCATTTTTTTTGAAATGAATAAGCGTCTAAATTGGCCTTTTGCATGTGCATACTATGCAAGGTCAAGAAGGCAGTAGCAAATCTAGTCTTGCCAAGTTTCACTAATTTTTTTTGTGAATCTCCTCATCATATTCAATAAAAAAAGCCTTTGAACAATGTAAGAATGTACCCTTACTGCCTAAGTGAAAACTGTAGTGAATGGTCTTTTCTTGAAAACGTTCCTGAACATCAAATTTATGCAGTGAACTGCTCATGGAGTCCAATAAATGTGCGGGAACACTCCCTTTAACATATCGCCAGCATTAACATTTTCACTTGCATGATTTGTAACAACTTGAACAACATTCTTTTCTCCAATCCTTTTTGTTGTGTTTCTAAACAAGGAGAACATTTTGATGGAATATGTAGACAAGTCACTCGCATGAGTGGATTCAAGAAAAAAGCTTCCTTTTGGAGAATTCACCAACACATCGTCATTTTACCAATTCTTGCCATCCACTTAGCCATCTTAATGGAATATCCAAACTTGTCCCATTCTGTCCTATGTTCCTTTAGAATTGGTCTCTTCCAGTTCTTTAGTTAGATAAGGACCTCTTGCTTCATGATAAGTGGTGGTGGTGGTGGGGGTTTCATCCCTGAACCAAATTGGCCTATGACCTCAATGAACGCTCCAAAAGTGTCCGTATAGTTGACACAATTGAAGGTGATCCCTGCTTTTTCTTCCTACAGTAAAAAACTCGCAACTGCATGATCCCTCAAAATATCCTTGGCAACATCATGCAATTCTTTTTATCGTTTTTCCCTGCATTACCTCCTGGCTTCTGTGAGAAGTAACTATCTAAAGGACCTTTCCTACATGTTGATCCACAACCTGAAGAGACTATTGTATTCTTGCCCATTTTTGTGATTTTGCAAGAAGCGACAAATCAATAGCTTCATCTTCTTCCATTTTTTTCTTCATCATCATCATCATCAAGATTAGTCACATTTAGTTGATGTAAGCATTTGACGTTTTAGCTCCCTTTTCCCTCAACATAGTTTTTTATTTCTTCCTCCACAATCTTCATGCATTTTCTATATCGTGTGTCATCACTATAAGTACCAATAAGATGTTTGTGGCGAAAAATTCCGCCTTCAAACATCTTCTCATAAAACAGACATATAACCACAGTCCTATTGGTTTCACTACCTCTGTCCCATATTTCCAGTCCGGGTCAGAAAGATTTAATCAGGGGTAAGATTTTGGCGAAATAAATAAGCAGCATATAGCATCATTGTTAAGGAAAAAAATTCAGCAATATTTTATTCACGTTTAAGAAAAAAAAATTCACAACATAAATTTAATCAACGTTGAGGAAATCTCTCACTTTTTTAAACTTAAAAAAAAGGCACATGACTTAACCTCAACATTCAAAAGGCTTGTTGAAGGGGTTATTGTTTTTAGATGATTGTGAAAAGGGATTTAAGAATTATTTTTACAGTAAACTATTTGTTTTTTTTGATAAGGTAACATGGTGACTCTAACCCACAACCGTAAGGTTGGAGCTGTAGGTACTTTCCAGTTTCCACTAAGTAAGAGATGTATTTTATGTCATTTTCAGGGAGGATAGGATTTCTATCCTGCAATCCCATGGGAATGCTGATCGTCCACCCCCATGGGATTGCTTATCGGTTCAATAGACCTGATTGATTGCTTACCTAAGCAAATGAACACTAATTTTGAATAGTGTTCATAATTTGAATCCACCAAAAAATGAACCATAATCTGGTTAAGTGATAGAGTAATTGTAATCCCCATTATCCCATCTCTTATCAACCCGAACCCTTTGTTTAGAGAATGTGTACTTTTTCTTGTTTTTGAATGATTCAAAAGGTGCAAGTAGCACAGACTGAGGATAACATGCAAGAAGGTTGCTTTAGATGGTTTAGACATGTTCTAAATTAACTTACAGATGCACTGATATGCAGATCTGAAACTATGGTAAGTAAAAGTGTTAAAAGGGGATGAGGTAGACCTAAAATCACATGGAAGGAAGTTGTCTCGAAAGACCTATAAATTATTGGTATCAATGCAGACTCAGCCAAAGATAAGGCACAAGGATCCACATAGTTGATCACTACTAATTGATGATAGGTCTTAGACTTGTCAAATAACTTCTAATATTATTGTTATTAATATTTATCTTCTTATTTTATTTTGTTTAGCATGATGATGATGATGATACTAAATGATCTCAAATGAAAGTGAGGATTCATATTTAGCCCAACTTGTTTGGGATTGAGGTGTAGTAATAGTAGTTGTTCTTTCTTTTTCTCTTGAATTTCTCTTTCGAGTCCAAAGTTACTCAGGAGATCATTTCTGTCATGATATTAATTGGATATTCTGAAAAAGCACTTGTGATCTTCAAGCTACATTTAGAATTATTTGTTGTACGTGTTTGCTATATATCCATGAGCCATGAAACTTTGACGTGTTTAATTATTCATTTCTTCTTTTCTTGCCTCTCCTTTGCTGCAATTTGTACCTTTTGGTGTCCTATTATAAATAATCAAACCAACGAAAACGTGATTGCTACTGATTTGATCTTTTCTTTTTGGAGGTTTAAAGCCTCTCAAGCACAATCTTCATATACTCGAAGGCATGCAAATGTAAGGCTTCTTATGTATCTTAGTTATCTTATCCCGACTATCTTCCATGTAGGCGTGTAGATATTTTTTGTCAATATGAAAACTTGCATTGGTATTTGGGGAGTTGCTGTTGGCCTTTTGCGACACTAGGAATCCACATTAACAAACTCGGGATAAATGTGTGGGTATATAAGAAAACAAACCCTAAAGCGCAGTGACGCGTTTCTAGGCCCAACGTGGATAATACCAGCAGTGGGCTAGGCTATTGTAGATGGTATCCGGGTCACTCTGCGTACAACCTTGAGCGATGGTAGGGCAAATCTCAAAGAGGATGTTGCATACGCAAGGGAAGGTGTATGTGATATTCTAGGAAAATTGAACATCAACAAAACACAGGAGAAATGCTGAGTATATAAGATAACAAGTCTTAGACACTTAATGACACATTTTTACAGTTGTGCGGGCCTATACCCAAATCGGTCACTAGTGTACGACATTGTTACAGTTTCAGGCAATACCTTTGGTTGATTATCAATATTCACTTGCTAAAGACATTCAGATGGTTATTCTAGTGCGCCACTACCTCTTTCTTTCTCTCCTTCTCTTCGTCCCTTGGGGTGGGAGGTGGTTAGTTACAGTAGGTATACATTGATTGATGAACTTATATATACTTTAACCACTTAGTCCCTCCTTTTTTCTGTTGTTCCAATATCCTTTAGAAGTTCACTAGGTAATAATGATCAGTAATGTGAAACAGAAGAAACAATAAGAGAGAATTTGACTTGATTATTCCCTCAAGCTATTGAACTTAAATAAATATGTTTACATTTCTTAAAAAAAGAAAGAAATCACTATATTACAATAGGACTAAATCAAGTGATCTAATATATTTTCTTATATATTCTAGAATATTCTTAAGGATTCTACACTCTCTCTCAAGTTGGTGCATAAAAATCGTGTATACTGCTCTTGCTACACATATTTACTTGCTCTAGGACTGGCTAAGACTTGGTGAATATATTACAAGTTGATCAATTGACTTCACGAACTTTGCGGTGATGTCTCCTTAGAGTATCTTTTCTCCGACTAAATAACAAGTAATATCTATGTGTTTTTCCTCTCGTAAAATGTTGGATTTAATGCAATTTGAAGTGTATTAGTGAAGCCTCATTATCGCACACAAGTTCCATTTCATTATTTTTTCCAAATTTTAACTCCTATTGTTCTTTATCCATATAAGTTCACATGTAGCCATTGCCATAGCCATAGCCCATTATTCAGCTTCTACACTCAATTGAGCAACCAACCAACCACGTATTTTTAATTACTTCTCCAAAACACCAATTTTCCTCCAACTAAAACTCAATAACAGAGGTAGATCGTTTGCCAGAGTGTGGCTTTGCCCAATCTGCATTTCCATTTCATTGTTTTTCCAAATTTTAACTCCTATAGTTGCTTGGTCCATTTAAGTTCTCACATGTAACCATTGCCATAGCCCATCATTCAACTTATTTGCTTAATTGAGCAATCACATTTTATTTCTTACTTTCCCGGAACACCAAATTTCCTCCAACTAAAACTTTATACCCAGAGGTAGATCGTTTGCCAGAGGGTGGCTCTGCCCGATCTTCATTTGTGTGTCCAATCATTTGCTTATGTCCTGAGTGTTTGTAAAGTACTCCTTTTCCTGGAGAAGATTTATGTCTGGAAGTATGCGAATGACTGCATTTCAATTGTTGTCACAAGGATAATCAAAGAACTGAGTTACAACCCTAACCAGGAAAGCAATGTCAGGTCGAGTTGCGTTGAGATAGTGCAATTTTTTCTACCAACCTCCTATATCTTCTCGGATCAACAAGATCTGGTTGTTGCTCCGTATATACCCAATCTTTGAGACCCCCATGAAGAAAAACGTTTGTAATATTCATATGGTAGACATGAATCACAAGCTTATTGATCCACTATGCATTACTTATTACCGTGGGGAGTACCATTTTTTTGATTGCTTACGATTTATTTATTGTTTTTGCACTGACATAGGGTTGATCCTGAATCTGTTGAAATTTGTTGTTCGGACATGGAATCTCTAGCACCTGAAGCATATTTTTCATCGACTATAATGAATTTCTACATCCGGTGAGTCAACAAAATATTTCTTCTTATAGTTACATTGTTGATTGATGAATAGATAGATTAGACATATTTTGGAAAATAGGTTCCTTTGAATATTCCCCTAGAAAAAAGAAAAAAATTTATAAAGGAAAAGAAGAATGAAACTAAAGAATCTTCGTGTCAGTTCCAAAGAAAATTTTCACCTTCTGAACAAAGAGATGTTTTCCAACTTTCTGTTCCAATTAAAGCAATCTCTAGTCTAATGTGAATTATAGAGCTTAGCTGACACGACTAGAATCTAGACCTCAGAGGATACCGGCGTCATTGACCTCTCAGAGGTCGCAGAAAAGCCTACATACGTCATTCTTACTTCATCTAGGTTAATTTTAGCGAAAAATTTGAAACTTTTTGTTTCCTAACATGATTACTAAACATTCTATTACATATATAATTGTTCACCATCAACCATCTAACATTAAGATCATCAAATAAAAGAAGCAGTTTATTATAACGATAAAGATGTACTTGCAAAAAGGGCACCAATACAATGTCTGAACAAAAACGGGAAAGAAACTCTAATGGAGCATACTCCACTAGCTCAATCCTACAACTAAGCTAGAATGTAAATGGGCAAGCATGAGGGTCTACCAAGTCCGGATGAATGCTCGGCGTCTGGATAGCTACAACGTTGATCCTGTAGCTCTAGTGCCCACCTGTGCCTGCACCTAAAAGTTTAGAGTTGTATAGGATTAGTACACTTGTACTAAGTATGGCTATATGCAAGCACACACCAAGGACATGCATGAGTAAGAATAACTCTTTTCTAACAACATGATTGATTGATTGTAGAAGGTCAAGTCAGTGGACTTGCCAAATTGAGATTAGGAAAGTGAGTGAGCTTTTCAAATTTGGAGTAGGAAAATTTAAGAGCTTTCCAAATTTGGATTAGGAAAGTTGTAACATGAGAGTAACATGCATCATCATACTTAACATTTTGCACACAACACGCAACAACGTACACATAACACATATCATAATTCATATGACACATATACTTGTTCATATCATTCATTCGTATGCCATGAGACATTGGAATCATGGACTTGACATTACGACTTCCCAAAATGAGGGCTTAACATATGGACCTCAACTAGGGAGTCTGCTTTAGCAAACACAGAGTCTGCTTCATTCATTCATACGTACTTCAGTTCATTCATGGGCAAGTGTAAACACCAGCTATACCTAGGATGTAGTTTAAGTGCAATGACCCAGAATGACCTAATGCCATTACTTGAATCTAACTCACCTCTTAATTATCCTATCCTAACACCTTTGGTATCATTCGTATCATTATGTGCATCATTTGAGGCTAGCCTCATTCATTCATTGGGAACTTTAACTTTAACCGACATAGATCATGTTAGCATCATGAAATCCAGTGTCATGAAACCCCACACCGAGGTGGAAACACCGGTCAAAGTGACCCAAAACATGCTAGCGTACATGGGAATTGAACCCCGCCAGATCCCTATATTGGCAGTATAGGTTCGAAAACTCGGAGATATAAGGAGACCCATACCCGACATGCCAGACAGTCTCATCTCATGAGAGTTACGTGAACCTCCGCCCTTCCCGAAAGAAGGCATCACCGCTCATAGTTAGTCTATCGGTGCTCTTTATAAAGTTCCATTACATTCAACTCATACGTCATGGAAGCTGGCTTCTAGTACGAGGACATCATATCTCAATGATTTCTCATCTCATCATTAGTATTAAGTGTATTAATCTCAATACTTTCATTAGAGTGTTCATAGAGACTGGTCTCTTCATTAACTTTACACTCTCATATGTGAGTACGTTTTGGTAAATTTACTTAGGCTCATTTGAGATTGCTCTCATCTTTTACATTAGCCTCATATCATGTTGTCACCACATTCATTATCATTAGCACATTTGCTCTTCATAGTTACTCACCTCTTTTTACGTGAATGTTCATTTCATCATATGCCAATGCACTTGGCCATTTGGTGTGTTTCACACTCTTACTTAACTCTTCAGGATTTCATCATTTTATTGTTCATTTCATCATTTCATTGTTCATTTCATCATTTCATTGTTCATTTCATCATATGCCAATGCACTTGACCATTTAGTGTATTTTTACACTCGTACTTAACCCTTCTAGGGTTTCATCATTTCATTACATACATCTTAGGTTCGCTTACTTTTAAACGTATGCTAGACTTATGAGTCTATACATACAAGCCACGAGGCTTAATTCATAGTTCGTTTAAGTGACTCATATTTTCCTAAGATTATGTAGTACAAGACTTATGCATCTTGTATGTATGCCAAGATCTCGATTTTGATCTAAGTAGGCAGCATTATTCTTGAACATTTAATTCAAGTATGACTTATGTATCAATATGGAATTTGGGCAAGGGAACCCGGTTTTAAAATCTCTTGAACAAAGCTTACATTTTTTTTTATTCATTTTGGTTTGATCCATACGGCTTGGGGACCTAAGTTCGAGCCCCAATGCCTTCATTTTATTTTCCCCTTAATTTCTCTCTTCATTTTTCGCTCAATGGATTTAAGAGGATGTGGGATCGAACCCCCACAACCTCATTTACTTTTTATTTTCATTGCCTTTAAATTTCTCTCCTTTGGCCGAGGGGTTGTGGGTTCGAACCCCAGTAGCCCCTCCTTAATTTCTTTTAAGTTTTCTCCTTAAATCTGCCCAGGAGGTCATGGGTTCAATTCCCACGCCTTACATCTCTTTCTTTCATTTCCTTTGACTCTCCTTCACTGCCTAGAGGTCGTGGGTTCGATTCCCACGCCTCACATTTTTTTTTCTTGTACTCTTCCTTAGATCTGATTGAGAGGTGGTGGGTTCGAATCCCACTCCTCTCATTTCTTATTTTTTAATCCCCCTCATCACATTTCTTTTTACTTCTTTATTTTCATGGTTTTGTAACATGGTGAGGTCACAGGTTCAATCCTCCATGACCTCACTTGTTTTAATTCATTTTTTTCAACATTTTGAACCCTCTTTGCTAACCGAAATTCATCACTAGAAGCTGGAAATTTTCTTTTAGTATGTCAGCATCCTTTCATCAAGTTACACCTTAGTTCTTAGGGGAATTTCGTAGTGCATTTAGAACGTTTTAGGTGCGTTTTCATGGATTTGTTTAGCCAAGAGATTATCCCTCAAATCAGCCACATTTCAACTCATATGAACATCACATTTACATCAACATGTGTACATGAAATATAAAGAACTAGCATGCCATTTCAAGTCCTAAACCATGAATAATAGCCACAACAACAACACACACACACACACACACGTAGTTACATTTTCGGAAACATCAACATAAGTCACATAATTCCAAACATACATATAAACACATATTCATCACGAAAACACGTTTCATCCCTAGTTTTCTACCAGCAAACATAACCAACCTATGATTCAATGGGAGCTAGTGACAGGGATATGCAACGGGGAACAATCCTAGTTTTTCAGAATGAATATTCTGAACCTTAAGGGGTCTCTTGGGAAAGGTACCAAGAGAAAATAGAGCCCATACCTTTTTGACATTAAATTCTTGACTTGCTGCCCAAAAACTTCACCCAGGAACACGTCTAAGCCTCCTCAATATCAACTCCACTCGAATGACAACTTCCCTTAGCCTAGTGTGCGATTAATGTTTGTTTTTTTGTGATTTCGTGTGAGTTCTTCAAGGGTGAAGAACTTTGTTTATTTTTCTGCTTTTGCATCTTATTTTGGCAGGAAAAAAACGTGAGAAAGAATAAGAGAGATTGAGCGTGAGAGTGGAGAGATAAACGTGAGAGAGTGGGAGTTCTAGGAGGCTTGGGAGTCCAGTTTTAGGACTTAGTCAATAAGGTTTTGTTTATTTAATAAAAATCTGATTTTTATTTTATTTTAAATCAAATAATGAATAATAATTATTAATTAATTACATTAATTCAATTGCTTAAACAAAAAATCACTTTAATTTATTGTTTCCACCTAGGTTCTAACTCGGGTGGAGCAAGACTTCAGTTCAAGAGCCCAATTTCGACCCTCTCTCCCCAAAATACCCCTCCACTTCATTAATTAAATAATTAATTGTATATTTAGGGTAATTATGATACTACCCTTAGCCTAGAAAAAGACCATTTTACCCCAAGACCCTCCAAACCTAAGATTTTCCCTTTTTTAAGTCCGGTAAAGACTCATCCGGGCAAATCTTCATATTCGGGGGCCCTACATGGCTAGACCCAACATTTCCTAGCTCAACTAACTCCCCAAGTTAGTTGGCTTGGCTGTTGCAAGGGTTCAGAGGTCTGGTTCTACGCGCATCAATCCGTGTGAACCCGGTCTAATCATAGGCATTCTTGACACTTTAATCATTTCTTATCAACTTTGTCACGACCTGAATCTAGACCCCGACGAGACCGGTGTCGTTGACCTCTCAGATGTCGCAGGCAAGCCTACATATGTCATCTTTACTTCATCTAGCTTAATTTTTGCGGAAAATTTGAACTTTTTGTTATTTAATATTCGTATAAGACATTATGCTTAAACTCATAATTGTTCACAATCAACCATCTAACATTAAGATAATCAAATGAAAGAAATAGTTTGTTGCTGCATTAAATGTGTACTTGCCAAAACGACACCAATACGAAGTCTGAAATGAAATGGGAAATGAAACACTAGTGGAACATGTTCCACTAGCTAAAACCTACATCTAAGCTAGATAATAACAGTAGACAGCCTCGAAAGCATGAGGACCTACAAAGTCCGGATGAAAGCTCCACGTCCGGATAGCTACAACGTCGTGCTGTAAGATCTAACGTCCACCTGTGCCTGCACCTAAAAGTAGATATTTGTATGGAATTAGTACACACTTGTGCTAAGTATGGGTATATGCAAGCACACATTAAGGACATGCATGAGAAATAATAGCTCTTTCCTAACAACATGATTTATGGAAAGTCAAAGTCAGTGGACTTGCCAAATTTGGATTAGGAAAGTCAATGGACCTGAGTGTAACATGCATCATCAAACTTATCATTTTGCAAAAACACATAACATATTTCACATATCATATCACGTAGTTCATATCTTTCTTTCATATGCCATGAGACCTTGGGATCATGGACTTGACGTTAGGACTTCCCAAAATGAGGGCTCAACATATGGTACCTCAACTAGGGATCCTTCTTTAGCAAACACAGAGTCTGCTTCATTCGTTCATACGTACTTCATTTATCATTCTTTCATATAGTAGTGCAATCACCAGTCATACCTAGGATGTAGTTTAAGACTCTGATCGGGTTTGCTTACTTTAAGTCTAGCTCACCTCTTGATTATCCTATCCTTACACCTTTGGTATCGTTCATTTCATTATGTGCATCATTTGAGGCTGAACTCATTTATTCTTTGGGAACTTTAACTTTAACCGCCATAAATCATGTGAGCCTCATGAAATCCAGTGTCTCCCCTACACCGAAAAGAGGTGGAATCACCGGCCAAAGTGACCAAAAACATGCTAGCATACATGGGAATTGAACCCTGCTAGATCCCTATATTTGCAGTATAGGTTCGAAGACTAGGAGATATAAGGAGACCCATACTCGTCATGCTGGACAGTCTCATCTTATGAGAGTTACGTGAACCTCCGCCCTTCCCGAAAGAAGGCATTATCTCTCATAGCTAGCCTATCGGTGCTTCAGTATAAAGTTCCATTACATTCAACTCATACATCATGGAAGCTGGTTTCTAGCATGAGGACATCATAGCTCATTAGATGATTTCTCATCTCATCATTAGTATTAAGTATGCATTAACTTCAATACTTTCATTAGAGTGTTCGTATAGATTGATCTCTTCATTAACTTTACACTCTTATAGGTGAGTACGTTTTGGTAACATTTATTTAGACTCTTTTGAGATTGCTCTCATCTTTTAGATTAGCCTCTTATCATGTTGTCACCACATTCATTAACTTTAGCACATTTGCTCTTCATAATTACTCACCCCTCTACATTAATGTTCATTTCATCATATGCCAATGCACTTGGCCATTTAGTGTGTTTCACACTCTTACTTAACCGCTTCTAGGTTTTATATCATTTCATCACATACATTTTAGGTTCACTTACTTTTAAACTTATGCTAGACTTATAAGTCAACACATACAAGCCATGAGTCTTCATTCATAGTTTGTCTAAGTGATTCATATTTACCCAAGATTATATGGTACAGACTTATGATCTTGTAGATATGCCAAGATATTGATTTTGATCTTTAGAGGCAGCATTCATTGAATATATATTTACGTATGACTTATGTGTCAATATGGAATTGGGCAAGGGAACCCGATTTCAAATCCCTTGAACAACACTTAATCTTATTTTAAACTTGATAATTGCATTTTTCAGATTTGGGAGACCCTAGTTCGATTCCCATCAACCCCATAATATTTTTTTCTTGTTCTCCTCCCCTTTTTCGTTTTAAGGCAAGTAGGTTGTGGGTTCAATCCCCCACAAGCTCATTATTTTTCTTTTAATTTATCTCTTAACTTTCTCACCTATCCAAGAGGTTGTGGGTTCAATCCCCACTCTCCACATTTATTTTCTCCTTTATTTTTCTCCTAACTTTCTCTTCCATTCAAGAGGTCGTGAGTTCAATCCACACTCTCCACATTTTATTTTCTCCTTTATTTTTCTCCTAACTCTCTCATCCATTCAAGAGGTTGTGGGTTCGAATCCCCACAGCCTCACCTTATTTTAATTTACATTTTCTCCTTACCTTCTCATTTTGCCAAGAGGTGGTGGGTTCGAATCCCACTCCTCTCATTATTTTTATTATTTTAAAATTTCTCTTTACTCTCTTGTTTGGTCGAGAGGTTGTGGGTTCGAATCCCACACCTCTCATTTTTTTTCCAGCTTTCATGTAGTGAGGTCTTGGGTTCAATCCCCACTGACCTCACATGTTTTAAATTTATTTTAAACTTCTCATACCTCAAGTGTTGTGGCCGAAACTCCATCACCAAGTGCTGGAAATTTGACTAAATTTTCTAGCCTTGATTTAACAGCATTCATACATTCGTTTTGTGGTAATTTCACAATTTGTTTAACGCGTTTTTAAGTGTTGATTCATTGTTGTTTTAGCTTAGATTTTTCCACTTAAGATCAGCCACTTTACACTTCATTTAAACATCACAAATTACATCTTATGTACCTTAATTCCAATCATTAAACAAGCCATTTTAAGGCTTCAAAACGGAGAGCAGCAACAAACATTTTACACTTTGCACCACATCATTTTCGGTTGACATCATTGAACATGCTTGCTGTTTCCAAACACAAAATCACAAAGAACATCATATTTCACACTTAGCTACTAGAAACCATGCTAACAACATGATTTCTAACCTAATTTAGATTGAAATCGGAAGGAGACTAGGGACAAGGAATTCGACAATAGAGGGGACAACCCTAGTTTCATACGTTGAATTTTGTAGAAACAAATTTCTCTTGGAGAAAGGATTCCAAGAGAGAAAACCCATATCTTATTTTGACGTTCAAACCTTGAAGTTGCTGCCCAAACCCTCTCCAAAACTCACGTCCAAGCCAAGTTTTCAACACAAAACTTTCGATGGAAAAACCCTCTCTTTGCCTAGCGTGTTCACTTAGCTTGTTTTCTTATATTTTCGTGTGAGTTCTCCAAGTGTGAAGAACTCTAGTAATTTTTTCTGTTCTTGTAGTTGTTTAGGCAGAGAGCAATCGTGAAAAACAAATGGAGAAACGTGAGAGAGATGCGCGTAAGAGAGAGTTAAAAGAGGTGAAGTAGTTTAGACTTAGTCAACTAGGAGACTTAGTCATAAAAACATATTAATCAATGGCTGATCTAAAAAGGAAAATCAGATTATTAATTATTATTTATTTATTAATTTTTTATGACCAAGTCTCCTAGTTGACTAAGTCTAAACTACTTCACCTCTTTTAACTCTCTCTCACGCTCATCTCTCTCACGTTTCTCCATTTGTTTTTCATATACGCGCGCGCGCGTGTGTATATATATATATATATATTAATTATTTATTTTTTCTTTAATCTTGTGTTTGTATTTGATGGGTACCTCTGTAATACCTTTTTGCCTTTTACCAACATCAGCTATCATTTGGTACTATTGCTAGTCAGCCACCTAATAAATACCAACTAACTAACTAACAAAATTGCTTATGGACTTTATTTTTAGCAGCTTGTTTGGATAATCTCTTCAACATCTTTATAGAATGAAATTAACTTCTGGGATGCATGAAGTTGGTCAACACTTGCGTTATATTCTTTTTATCAAATGTATCATTATATTTTAACATTATAGAAGTAGTTGCATGTTATAAATAGATATTTTTGATGTTCTCCGCTTTCCACAACCGTAACACTTGTCATTCCGATTACTTCATCGCTTTTTTTTAATATAAATTTCCGAGCCTTTGCTGTAGGGATTATTCCTTCTTACTTTATAGTAGTTATTGTTCCGGTTCCAGAAGGTATAACTCTCCCTTCAACTTTTTCTGTGAAATCAGAAACTGTTCCAATATCCTAGTAATGTAGGCAAGCGGACGGAGACCTAGACTTAGGCGGTGTTTGGATTGACTTTTTTTAAAGTAGCTTATAAGTTAAAAAGCTAAAACTCATCAAGGTTTTAAACGTGTTGAGTGTTTCACTTCACTTTATGTGCGCTTCAGTATCGTCATCAAGGTTCTAAGGCAAACTTTTCCTTGCCAATGAGCCTCTATGAAGAAGTGACACTAAACAATTGATATTTCACTTTATTTTGTATTTTTCACCCTTTACGCCTTTTTTCATTAAAGCTCACTTTTGTTTGCGTTTAAAGCCCCCATGGACCTTAGAGCTTTTTTGTGCTTTTTTCCTTTGATAACACTGATTGTTAGTAGGAGCAAGATGAAATTTGCACCGACTTTCTCTATCTTCTATACCCTAATTGCATTGTTTTGTTGTTAGGTACCTCCAGAAGACAAAACATCATGCAGATGTCGATGAGTATCACTTTTTCAATACATATTTTTACCAGAAGCTCAAAGAGGCTGTATTGAGCAAGGTATTATCTTCCCTCTGAGAGAAACGAATTTCATGCAAGGCTGTACAGTCCATGTACATTGATGATTGATCAGTTTAGCTGGTAGTCCTTAGTGAACATGTCTAGCCATTGCTCATGCCCCCCCCCCCACACGCACGCACGCACGCACACAACAAAAGGAGAACACTGAATAGGGAACTACTTTTTGTTGAGGTATAATAGTTTTGTTAATGATGGAAAGAGAACTCTCTACAAGTGGTAAATTCCGGTGATTTATATCTTTTGTTAATGACTAACTAAGAGATCATAATTTTTCACAAAATGGAATAATCAATTGGTAGTTGGCCCAAGAGTTCATTGACTTCGCTCCAAGTTATTTTTGTTTTGTTTTGGTGCATTTAACATTACTCTGTCCTCTTATACTATTTCTGTTGAGTTGCTATTGATGTCCTTGTGTTGGTTCTTCTCCTTTGTAGTCTTCATTGGAGCCTGGTTATAATTTGCATACCAGATAAAGAAGATGAAGTGGGGCCAATCTTACTTCACTTGGATTTATTAGGTCTTCACTGCAGCAAGTCCCTCTTTGCTACCATAAGAAAGTAAGCTGAACTTTGTCGTTTGCTGTTTAACAACGTGACTTCCATGCTGCAGAATCTATTTTTGTAAATTGTAGTTCTGATTCAGAGTTGTTATTATTAATGACTGCAGCTACATCTTGTTTCTGATTTGCCATGACTACACCATTGTCCTGATAATAATGCATATGCCAGAACCCCTTGCCAGCGAGGGTGTGGTCCAGTGGTTTGGGCTTTGGACTTCCATGTTGGAGGTTTCAAGTTCAAAACCCCTTGCCAGCCTAAGCAATGGGTTGGCCATCTGTCGAGCTCGTCGCACCGATCTTGCCTAGTGAGGGTTACCTCTCTTGTAATTTGCGAGCTACTGCGTAGGAGCGGGGGTTTAACCCTATGCGCACCCAAAGGGTAGCGGCTGCGGGCTCACTTGTCATAAAAAAATTTACATATGCCAGAACCATTTTGACATTATTTCTGAATGTAGGATTGTATAAGCTATAACTTGACCATTCAAAATTTCTTGTGCTATATTGTTCTTGTTTATGATATGCTACAATATAGAAATAAAGCATGAATTAGTGACAGCTTGAGAACTAAAGGGGCAGAAATTAGAGTTCTGTTATCATACTTGGCGGGACAGAAATGGAAATTTATCAGGCTGATCAATTTGCATGGTAAAATTAGTGACACTTGGGAGGTTAGGAGGAAAGACCCTAATACCAAATGGGAATTCTTGCATGGCTATATCCGTGCTAATTCATTTCCATTCAACATGCCTAAGAAGTCTGGTCTCTTTCAAGTTCTCGTACTTTGGTTATATATTTATTGTTTGGATGTTTTCGATTGCGGCGTTTTGATCATTTTACAGTGTTGTAGCTTCATAATCTGAATATTACAATCTTGAGGTTTACTCTGTTATAACCAATTTTCTCTTCAAACTCGCGGTAAGATATAATTTTGAACTTGAAGCTTCTTAAACCTGGAGACTTTTTCGGCAGATTTTTGGTAGAAGAATGGAAATTCTTAAGACAAGGAGAAGTGATATGGGAAAATCTTCCACGAAGGATTGATGAAAACATCATTCAGGTATTCTTTCATTTGCAATTTATGGCATGAAGCAGTCTTAGGAATTCTTTTCATACCAGAAGCTATCTTGTCCATTCAAATACCTTGTGATATAGGGAGTTTGGTTTGGCTGATATCGGATGTGAGCTTTTGTTTTGGGAATTTGCTTGGAAAAATTACTTAAATACACAACTTATTTTTACTATATTTTCTAAAATTTCCTACCAGTTTGAAAAAATTACAAAAATTCCTACTCTCTCCTAATCCTGGATAAATCACTTTACATGATATATCGGGACATATGAGATGTATCAGAATGTTGAGTGATGTATCGGGACATTGAGTGATGTACTCGAAATCGAGATGTGATGTATCGAGACGTTGAGAGATGTATCTAAGACCGAAACACGAATATCGGAACGTTTTGGGATGTATCCCGATTCAACCAAATATAGGGGATTTTTGTAATTTGAAGTTGGAATACATCACTTTATAAACCGAGATGCAACGTATCGGAACGTTGAGAGCTGTATTCATAATCGGGTTGTTTTGGGATGTATCCGGATTCCACCAAATTTAAGGGATTTTATAATTTGAAAAAGTAGGATAGGATGTAACTAACTCTTATTACTTGGGATTTGTGTAAAATAATTTGTTTTCTCATAACCTGGGGCATGCTAAATTGATGTATATACCATTTGCTGATTGCGTGAAAAGAAGTGGTTTCTTTAGTAGTAGAAAACATCAATCGGTGTTGCTTAGTTTGATGATCATCTGTTTTATGGGCTTAGGCTGTCATAAAGTTCCAAAGTTTACCATACTGGCTCTGTTTTTCCTTTTTGTTTCTCCTCTCTTTTTATGTTTTTTTCTTGGTAAAAAAGGATATCCTAATAAAACTTATAATTAATATAGCTGAAAACATTGACTCACTTCTGGATACTCCATTTGAGAAATTTATAGAACCTATAGAAGCAAACTTGTCTACATATGTTGTGACTGTGTCTGCAAGTTCACGGAAACCACTTTTCTTGAAATTTTCTGGTTACAGGTCCCACAACAAAGAAATGAGTATGACTGCAGTCTGTTTGTTCTTTTCTTTATGGAGCATTTCTTTGACGAAGTTCATAGAAGGGTTAAAAAGAAGGATTTCACCATGGTATAACTTTTGTTTTATATATAGCTTTCTCCAATTTTTGGTTGTTGAACAATTGCATCAGTCATCGATTTAAAATGATCCTATTGTCAGTTTGGAAGAAGGTGGTTCAAACCTGCAGAAGCCTCTTGTTTGAGGATGAAAATCCGCAGAATACTGGAGGAAGAATTCAAGAATGTGAGTGAGAATGATTGATATTTTCAGGATTGCTACTGTGTACAGGTAATTACTCTTGCTCAAAGAAATCCACTAGCAGTTTTTCAGCATAGACTACTGTCGTCAGTCACACATCAACCATAAACAGGCAGAGGATTTAGTAGAATTGATATTGACCCATCCAATGGGAAGGAGAAATACACTAGACTTCCCTGGGAAATATATATATTGTACATAAATCATAATTGAACAATCACCAAGGGGAAAAACAGAACATTTGGGCGATGCATCGATATTGACCATGTCCCTCTCCATTCATCCAACGATTCCAGCCTCCACCCTTTGATCATCCCACCTTCAAACCCTCAATCCCCACCCATCCCCGTAGTGTTTTGCTAGATTGCATATATGACTTTTGTTTCAATTTGATCGTCCTGTTTTGTCTTCGCACTAAATTTTCGAACGTAAAGAAAGTTTTTAAATCTCGTGGTCTTAAATTAAAAATATGTAGAATGTACCAGAAGAGTGATTTCTCAAAGAATAATAAAATAAAATAAAAGAATGGTCCTAAACCTATGTATACAAGCTTCTATGACCAAAGTTAGTTAGTCTATTGTACATTATAATCCGTTCGGTCTAATGAAAGTGAAAACAACCCTTTTGTGCAACTTGAGATGTGTCAATGGCTTCTAACATGAGCATCACCTCCTTCATCTCTGGCCTCTCTTTTGGGTCTGCATGCCAACATTGCTTCATTATGTTGGCCACAACACTTGGACATTTGTTTGGTATTTCTGGCCTTAGACTCTAAAATTTCAAAAAATATATCAGTGATTGATATTATTTTAACATTAGCTATAAAGAATATAACATAAAAATTGAAAATATACCTTGTATTTACATGGACTTGTGTCAGAAGAAGGAATTTTTCCATTATATGGAATAGAACAACAATATATCTCCCACAAGCAAATTCCAAAACTATAGACATCACATTTATGATCATATGGTACACCAATAAGTACCTGCATATACAAAATAAGACAATAAAATTAGTATAAGTAATAGAGAATTCAATCTTTTGTTCCTTCATGTAAATAAAAAAAAAAAATACTATAAGAATGAGATATCTCACCTCAGGAGCCATGTAACCAATGGTACCAATTTGGGCAGTCATGTCAAGAGGACATGAAGATTCAATTCGAGAAACGCCAAAATCGATTATTTTGACTCTTCCATCCTTGTCCATGACTAAATTACTAGTCTTTACATCTCTATGAACAATTTTCTTAGAATGAAGGTAACTCAACCCTCTTGCAATATCTAGTGCTATTTGAATAACAGAATTCAATGGCAACTTTTTGATATGATTTTTTAAGAGATGTGATCTCAGAGTGCCTCCAGGGACATATTCAACCACGATACCATATTCGAATGATCGTTGTTTTTCCAATGAACGATTTCTCAACCACGGGATGCAATTGGTAAGCTCATTAATCCATTTTTTCATCCATGATTTACCACTTGTAGATTCAGAATTAATCAATTGGGGCAATCTTTTTGAAGCTCCGATTAACTGAAGAAAAAGGGTTTGACATTTGTTAGGTCACATGAAAAACATATATATTTAAGTGTATGTAATAAATTAAATGAAGTGAGAATTTTTTTTAATTTGAATACCTTTGCGATGTTTGGGTGATGTAGGTTGTACCATATAGAAACTTCTTGCGTGAAAGCGTTTGTTAGTATATCCCTTCTTTGTTCATTGCTCAAATCAAGTATTTTTACTGAGAAATAATTAAAAATATTAAGTCAGAGAGAATTGTATAAGAAAAAAAAATATATATTATTAACCATTGTAAATATATGTATATGAACATTACAGACGTGGAAGAATCAAATGGTATATTATAGGCTTTTTTAGTGTATAGACTAATATTATTAGGGTTAATGAAAGTTACAAATTTGTCATAATTTTTTCCTTTTTCATTAGTTAGACGGTAAAAATTAAATCTTTGATAACTTTATAAACCTAACTCTAATAACATATAGTAGTTAAATGGTTAGATCTTTCCAGATTAAAAAATTGGACAAATAAATTATGTATATATAGGGTTTAGCTAGTATATGAAAAGAAAAGTAGGTACATTATTAATTAGGCTTTAGCACAGACATCGATAAAAATCAAGTAGCTAGCTAATATAAGAAAAAAAGAATAATAAAAATCAACTAGCTAGCTAATATAAGAAAAAAGATTAATAAAAATCAAGTAGCTAGCTAATATAAGAAAAAAGATTAATGGTAGAAATTAGTGATAATATATACCTGCAACTTCTTGTCCATTATAATAACCTTTGTAAACTGATCCGTATGCCCCTTCAGCAATAAGATGGTTGACGTTAATTTTAAGTTTCGTAGGATCCAATTCCCATTCTTGTTTTTTCGTCACTTCCAAACTTTTTGTCTCGTCACAACCCTTCCTAAATAGTTTATCTAAATGCCTCTCAAGTTGCTCATCCATTCTTTTCAAATCTGTCTTTGTTACAATAGTTGATTTCGCCATTGAACTATACAAAAGCAAGCGTTAATGTTCCTTCAGAGCGTTTGAAAAGGATAAGGTTCAAGAGTGTGCTATAATATTTATAGGTATCAAAATCAAATTACAAATTTGAAAAGGATAAGGAAAAGGATTTGGTTTATACATGGAGATTTTCTAATTAGATTATTTGGTTTACATAATTATATTCAATATGTGCTATCTATCTATATATATATATTAACTTGTGTGTGCACTGACGGTAGAACTCTTTTTACTCTGTCAGTTAACTTCGAGGCACACAAAAGTTAAGTTTTTCAATTTGTTTTTACTTTTTATTTTATTGAACATAAATATTAAATATAGAGGTAGAAGGTAACTAGGATTCTAAATACATTTTACCAAATTAGTTTAGGATTCTGTTTTTTAGACTTACCGAAAATATTTTCATCATCTCTCATGTTTCACCGTTTTTGTTTATTGCTGTTTTTTCATATCACCATCAGTTACTTTAAGCAATTTAAAACTATCATCAATGGAACTCATGGTAATTATTTTTTGATTTTACATTCTTGTAACTTAATAAATTGTTTATACAATATTTTTCTCTTGAATATAAATTTGAATCTTCAAGCTATACATTATCTTGTTAATATAACATCTGTTAACGACATGCTGCTACAAAATGTAGAAGACGTTAGATCTTCACAAGAGGATATTTTCCGAATTTAGTGATGAACAATCAAGAGTGTCATACACTGGTATGAAGTTTTAATCACTTGTTATTGCATTAAAATTTTATCTTATGCTCATTGAGTGGTTTTAGTGTGCTATGAGCATAATATTCAGATCTGATATTGTTTGTGTTTTATTCAAGTTTTCACATTTGTTTATAGCAAAAATCTATCAAGAACAAATAAAAGCGGCAAAAGGGAGGTTGCCTGATAGTAGTGTAAAGGTGCATACAACTTATTAGTTATGTTGAAAGATGACGACTTGTGAGATTGTTTTGAGTATGATGTTGTTATAACATTTGGTATCTAATGTGAACAGCTGAAAATAGTACTACAATTTCTGTTTTCTAATAATTAAAAAGTGCGAATCATTTTAGACAATCCAATTAAAGCTTAAACATCTATGACATAGCAACATGGTTTAATAAGAATTTCACATGGTTGTCTCCATTCTAAAATAATGGTACTGCCAAATTTAGAGAGGGACCGCTCATGCATTACATTTCCTTAAACCTGGTACTCAAACAAACACAACATCTTTGCCTGAAAGGTTGAAATACTTGGTGTTGTTTCGTTCCAACGTGATACTGAGTTTCCAACCAAGTCCTCCAATATGACATCATGAACAGATGTAAGAGTTCTGTTGTGGGGTTGTTGCGCAACTGAACCTCTCTTGGGAGTTCTCACTATCTTCCAGGTGGCAATAATGAAGAAATTGCACTTTACTTTAATGCACAAGATCAGGGGTGTGTGTTGATAGTCCAAGAATGATGCATTTTAAGTCAATATTTTTGGAGAGCTCGAACCAGCATCCAAAAGATAAGATACTGACTCCATATCACAGCAATTAGGTGTCTGGCAACTTCATGTTTTCCTCAAAAGATGTGAAAAAGCACCCAACCAGGACAATACGACATCAGGAATTCTGTAAAAGATTTTAAAGTAAGTCAATGGACATCAAGAATCTTCAAAAACAAACCAAACAATTAACATAAAACATATATAGGGAAATTATGGTGCAAAAGATTACTTATCAAAAAAGTACACTTATTAGGTGGCTCCTCCAGGAGCAACACGTTCATTGACATAACCTTTGCCAAATGGTGCAAAAGATTTCCCACATGACATCAGGTTGAAACATCACAAGAGTCTATAATAGATAGATTCAGATTACTAACATATGCTACAAATTTAAAATAATTCCCCAAAAGATCAAAAGATCGTAACCGTTTATCCATAATTTCACATGAATAAAAGAGATCATAGATGAGTAGCTTGGGGGAGATACGAGTTTGGAGAGAAGAATCCCAAGTTCAACGAGGACTCTGAGACACAGGACAAAAATAGAGAGAGTGATAAATTAATAAAATATTAAAAAGAAATAGATTAGAGGTTTAACTCGGTTTCACTAGTACAGTTAAAATTACTTGATTACACACTCACAGCACAAAAGTTAATCTGGCAAGAAAATTTAGCCTAGGATCAATACATGCGTTTTTTTAGGACAATCTAGTTAATTATTATTTAAGTTAGGTGATAATTAGTTTAACTTTTTAAAATTTTACATTTTTTATAAATTTAAATATTAAATATTTTGTTTTTGAAAAACGTTTTATGTTATTTTAATTTTCACATGTTCTGTACATACAAAATGTGAGAGTTTTGTAATCATAGTGATGATTTTAATTTGATTTCATTTACGAGCATTATTTTAAAATTTAAAATATTTTGAATCTTAATTTTTGCTTTAAATTTTTTAAGCTTTTTGAAATCAAAATTTGCAAGTCACTTTAGCTGTTTTACTTGTCTATTTTTATATCACAAGAGGAAAAAGTGCAGTCAGCACCACAATTTTTTTATGAATTTATTACAAATAATTTAAATTATAAAAAATTTTAAAATAAAAATGAAAGTTGCATTCACTAAAAAAAAAGCAATTTTTAACGTTTATTGTTCTTCTTCTTCCTCTTTCTTTTTTGGAAGTTTTCAAATTTAATATTAATTATAATTATTTATTTAAAAATAAATTTTAATTCAACTAACATATTTGAATCTATATTTTGAAAAAAAAAATGTCTATCTAATAAAAAAAATATTTAGATTAATTAATAGTTAGTTATATATATATATAATATTCACAATTTTTGTTTTGAAAAAAAAAAGAATATTGATTTAATGAAGAAAAACATTACCCCAAAATATGGGCAGACAACACATTACCAAATCTTATTTTTACTTTTGTGGGAACTTATCCTTTTTTTTTTTTTTTATTAAATATTAAAATAATGTGCATTTATTTTCCTATAAAGGAGTAGTTATGATAAATTAGTTTAAGTATGCAGCATAAAAAATCTAACAAAGTCTTGACCAAAAATAGCCCTAGATACGCAAATTAAAATTTACTTTCCAGTTTAAAAAATGAATATAAACGATCTGCATTTTCTTTTTGCAATTAAGGAGTAGTTATAAGTAGTCCCTGTAAGAATATTCTGTACAAAAATTCTCATAACTTCTTATAAAAGAAGTCATAAATGTGGTTATAAAAATTCATTTTTTAAATAAAAAATTAATGTAAATGATTTAAAATGCTAGGCACGACATATTAATGTTAAAGTACACAAATATTCAAAAGGTGGTCACCAGAATACAACAGATAATGCTAAACAAAAGTGAAATATATATTTAAGAATTCAAACTACAGAACCTTATGGTTCATAAAATTAACTTGGACCATAGATGAATATATGAATTAGGATAAAATTCAATATTCGTAGTATTTCTCTCCTGATTCATTCTTTTGCAATCATTCTCTAAGTCGATAATATCCACAAATCATCACTAAAAGTTAAAAATAACTCGCTAGAAACTTCTTAATAACTAATGGAAAATGTACTAATACTTTAATCGATTTATGAATTGAGTGAAAAAATAATTGAAACCTGAAGGACTTTTCCATCATGACTCTTGTAAGTTCAACGAACAATCTGAACCTCATCACCTTTGAATTGCACTTCATATTTGGTTGATTTTTTCTCTCTCACAACAGGTAGGACAGAAATTTAATGTTGAGATTGATAAAAATAGTTATAACCAATTACATTATTTTTCTAAATAAGATGCAATTAACTTCAAATCAAAATTTGAATTTAAAAGTTTAATTAAATTCATTTTAATTGATAAATTAGATAAATCAAAAGAAATCTACAAATTAATTGACGTGGGGTGGAGGGGAAGGAAAAAGTGAATTACATGTAATTGGCAAGTTAATTTTATTAAAAAATTATGTTTTTTTAAAAATCTACAAACTGATTTATAAAATATTTTTTGTTTTTAATTATTATTTTGAGATAATAATTATCGAAGTGTAAATATAATTAGCAAAAATAACAATACAAAATCCCTCTCAATCTCATTACACAACCAACGTGATAATGAATATTACATTAATTAGTCACTAATTTGGCGGTATAATACTGACCCCAACAATATTACAAGAACCAAAGTAGTTAGGTTAGGTTATGCAAGGGAAAAAGAGAAAGTGTATATATATATATATATATATATTAATTAGCATAGCATAATATAATTGATTTTCCATATAAACATCTTTGTCATTGAACAACACAAAGAAGAAAAGGATTGAGAAAAGTTATTCAACTAATCTATTTAAATGTCTTTCAAATCGTTGAGAACAAGTTATTCCCCATATATATGGAATAATTTGTACCTCACTATACTAATCGAAACGTTACAAATTAGTCACAATTTTTACCTTTTACACTACTTGGTCACAAAAAAAATAAAATTTGATGACTCTATAAACTATATATTACATAAAAAAACAAAGTAGTTAAACGGTTAGATTAGTTGGGTTAAAAAAAAATAGACAAAGCAATTATGTATAGATAGGGTTTAACTAGTATAAGAAAAATGAAGTAGCTACATTCATTGGGGTTTAGCGCAGACAATAATTAGAATCAAGTAGCTAGTAAATGAAAAAAGATTAATATCGCTGTCCATTATAAACACTCAGGGCGGCTCGATACCTTTACGAATGAGGCATCCCTTTAGGCCCCAAATTTGAATGACCTATTTCTTTAAGTCTTTTTGATTGCAACAAAAGAGGTACAACAGTGGCATGTTAAATAGGCCTATAACTAACTACAATTAGTTAAAAGTAAGAAAATAAAAGATAGTGGACAAACATGCCACTGACTCCACCCTATCAACTTGAAAACAACTAATAACTTAATCCTAAATAACTGAACAATATTACTTTTTTACTAGCTAAAAACAACTATTTTGAAGCACTAATCAACATATTGTCGATTGTAGTTTTAATGATAAATAGGTAATATATATAAGTATAATTATATATGTTATTGTACTGCCTATGCACGTTTAAGGTTTCTTTTGTACATATTTACATCTTTGTACACAAAAGGTAAAATAGTTGTTGGTGGCAAGCCAAGTCGTTGCTTCGTAGTTCACAAAATATCTGCAATTACAAAGAAGGGTATTTCAGATTGTGGAGGTATAATTTAGTGAGAATGGAGCTAGTGTGTCAGGTTTTGTGCTTACTGCTAGAAGGGTTACTGTTAATTCGGTTGTGACCATTGGTGCTGATTGAGTGGGATTGTGTTTTTCTTCATAATTGAGAAGAGTCAATTTTTCAGCTATGTTTAGTGGTTTCTGGAGAATAGTTTTTTCATTTGATTTTTGTAAGTCGCTGCTCCTAAGTGATTGTAGAGTTGTTCATGAAATTGGTGGTGGTTCTGCAAGGAAGAAAGTGAGTAATTTATTATGATGTTTTTATCTGTTTTATGTTTAATATAAGAAATATCGTGGCCTTACAAATTTTGTAAATTTCTTGTATTGAGAGGTGCAATTTTTTTCAGCCATTTGATCAGAAGCAATAGTTGTAGCTGAATAAGTATAAGTGATGTCAAATTGCACTCTGTGTGTGGAAAGGAAGAGTTTTAGTTAGTTATTTGTAAAATAGATTAATAGAGTAAGTATAGATTATAGCTTGAGATGACAATAGTAGATCGATCAAAATGTATGCAGTAGATGGTTTTTGAGGAAATACTTCTTGTGAATGGAATGTTGCAGTCTAAGAATACGATGGTGAAGAAATGTTGGTCCTCATTTGTTAATGTGAGTTGACCATCTATGTAAAATATCTAACCCTATCAAGTTTTGTTGTTATATGATTATATATTGTTATCAAAAGTTGTTGTATACTTACTGGTGATTGTGATAGAATCTGAGTATTTCTACAAGGATATAAAATTGGTGTTTGGATGATAGACAAGAAATGCAAATAATAAGTCGTAGCAAGCAGCCACATATTGGATTAAGTATCACGTAACAAATTGAAGCAGCAGATTGACACAACCAAAATAAATGCTAAAGATACAAGTTAATACAAATAAGAAAACCTTAATTTATAAATATACAAGTTGATACAAATAAGGAAATCTTAATATATTTTATTAAGGAAGGAATTTGTATATAAAAAGGATTGTCCAATATAAGGTAAAATCAGTATTCCTTGTTTAAATACAATTACAATTTCCTTACCATATTTGATAAGGATTCAAGCCAGAAGAAAACTCTATAAGAAGAGGACAAACGCAGATGAAGAGGGCACGACTTTCACATAGAGAGAAAAGTGAGAATTATTCAGTAAGTAAAAGTCTTCAAGATCGATAGGTTTGCTGAGTTCAAGAAGTTCTTGAGTTAGAAAGTCTTGAACGTGTAAAACTATTTTCTTCTTTTGTTGTTGAGTGTTAGTTATGATTCTTTGTACAAAAAGTGGGTTTGGCTTCTTGTAGAGTTGAGTTTTGGTGAGGTTTGTAACAAAAGGTGGGTTTGGCCTTTTGAGAGTAGAAGTAGTCGATTATACTTAATCGAGAGTTATTGTAGTGGTGAGATTTTTTATTATTGAGTTGTAAT